CTTCTTTGTCACCAAAGCAAGAGTCTATGGTCTGACTTTTTTTGCACTGTTTGCTCATGATCCCAGCCAATTATTTGACTTTTAAACTGTTTGTTAAGGTAAGGGTCTTCTTCCAGTGTGGAGAATGTGCTGTCTCAAGCTTCAGGGGTTTTGTGCAGCTGTTTTCAGAGGTACTTCTAGGGACCTGTAAACTTTCAGTTCTTCCAAGGTGGTGTGATAAGGGGCAAAGTGTTTACTCCTTTCCTGGCCTGTGCTCTGATCTATGAGTGACCACAAGCCCTCTTTTCTGCCATGCAACTCTGAGGAGGGTTCCCTCTCCACCACCACAAGCTCCACCACGCCAGCATTCCTTCTTGCCCAGAACTGCCACCCAGAACTGCCACCTAGATCCAATCACAGGCAAAGCAAGAGAATACTGCCTCAGTGCCAGCAAAGAGATCCTTGCAATCCCCCTCTGATCAGCCACTCGATCCCACCTCTGTGTGTGTGGGAGGAGAGCCCTGGAAGCAGCCACTGCCCCGGGGCTATGCTGGGAGTAGGGCTGGGACCATGCTCCTCCTTCACTATGGTCTGACAGACCTTTCCTACTGACCTTCTAAGTTGTCTTTGGTGTTTGTGGGTTGAGAAGTCTGGAAACTCCCTCAGCTGCCCATGATTCAGTCCCCTGAGGCCAGCTACAGGTTCAATGAGGCCTGGTCTTTGCCTTTGGGGCCCAAGCTGACTGTGCTCCTCTCCCAGCCCAGCATAACTGACCTTTCCAATCAACCATCCAGGTTGTCTTGGGCTGGAAAATTATTTCACTTTTTTTGTGAGTTCTGCTGCTCTAGAATTTGTTTAGAGTCATTTTTTTCAGGTATTTGGAGGGGTTTAGGGGAGAGCTCAAGCAAGTCACTTTTATTCTGCCTCCTTGGCACTGCTCCCTTTTTATGCTTCTTTTGGGTCTTAAATTTGAAAATAAAATTTTCTGTTCAGCTCTGGTCTTTTTATCAGGAAAGTTGGAAAGTCCACTATTTCATTGAATATCCATCTTTTACCCTGGAAGATTATGCTCAGCTTTTTATTTTTTTTCTTTCAAATAGAACATTTATTTTTAAATGAACAAGAATTTAGAAGATAGTTTTACAAGAAATTCTGAATAGCATCTATTATTCAATTACATATTAGCAGAATTGTCCAAATTAATACCTCAGATGATTTATATGGCAGAAAATGAAAGTGACTTTGTTTTAGGCATGGTGTATATATTTGAGAAGAAAACACATTGGTACTGCTCTGCAAATAACTAATAAGATACAGTTTCTGGTCATTTAAAATCTGTATCGGTATCAAAAAGTACTAGAAGGTTACCTTTTGCCCAAGATCATATGATGAAATGTAATCAATAGTGTGACACTATAAAGAAAAATTACTTTTGTAAATCTTCCTTTTTAGCATCATTCTGAATATGTTGGAAATCCTTTTCCATTTCACTTGTAATTAATGACTCAGTGATAGTATTGGTTTTTTTTTTTTTTGGTTTTTTTTTTAGGCAATTGGGGGGTTAAGTGACTTGCCCAGAGTCACACAGCTAGTATATGTCAAGTGTTTGGTCAGAGGCCGGATTTGAACTCATGTCCTCCTGACTTCAGAGCTGGTGCTCTATCCAGTGCGCCACGTAGCTGCCTGATAGTATTGTTTTTGTTATGAATTTTGGTGCTCATAATGCTTTTTCTCTTCCTCTAAACTCTTTTGTCTTGATTCATTTTCTCTATGTGCTCATGTATGGAAGATGCAATCAATCCAGAGTCACTGTTGTCAAAGTCAATTCTTTTTTTTTTTTTGAGAAGCTTCCAGAACATTCTGTTTAATTTCATTTACCCCAATAACAAAGAGGTTGTTTTGCTGTAGACTGTTACTAGCTGCTTGTTTTAAATGATCTTACTGTTCTGATTGGTCTTTCTTTGTGATATTTAAATCTTCATCTTATAATTGATTCTGAAATCTCCATGTTCATGAGTTTCTCTGTACTCACTACTAAGTTTCATCAGTTCATTAAAATAACAGCATAAGTCCTCTATGGCATCCAAGGAGTGTATATTTCTTTTTTTATATATACATATTTTTAATATACATGTTTTTTAACTATTAAGTTAAATATCATAGAATATGATATTTTGGGTCTGACAAATTGCTGAAAAACTGCCTGGTTCTGATACATTGATTTCATGATTAGGTAAATCAGATTTTCGTATTTCACCATTGAGAATTATTAGATAAGGTATGATTTCAAGTATGGACTGCCTCCAATTTCTTTCTTGGAAAAGGGGCTTTCTAATATGCGATAAGTCACATAGATTAAAACATGCATCAAACCACTTGGTGACACTTGTAAAATCTGAAAGGCAGTTGTTACTGACATCCAATTTTTCCAGAGAAACAAATTGAAAGAGTGGCACAATTTCAGTCAAACTATTTTGAGAGACAGAATCTGTAATAAAGGAAGGCAGTATGAGGAGAATATTTCTAATGTTGAAATACTGTTGTCTTCCAAGTACATTTCTCTGAGCAAAACTTGATTCTCCAGAGATGGAAGCTCAGTTAGGTAATTTCCCTGTAACTTCAAAATCTGAAATAAGCCAGAATCTTTAATGCCTTCACATTTAGTAAGATTATTATAAGTGCAGTCCAGGTACATGGTAGCAGGAACACTGTAAGGATGTCTAGTGCTCATTGGCTGATTCCCCAATTAGTTGTGGAAGAGATTTCAAAGATTCTAATCCACTAATTCAGGTGATCATATTATTAGAAACTTCAGTATTTCAAAGATTACTACAACCATCCAATCCATGAAAAGAAGTCAGTTCATTGTCATTCAGAAGAAGGATGCAGGGATTTTCTCAATCCTCACAATTTATAACCTGCATCTGGTTTTCCTGTACATAAATATAGTTCAATTTTTTTGCAGTTATTCAGTTGTTCCAGAACAGTTTATCTACGATATCATAGAGTAGGGAATCAAAGACTTGTACATTCTGACAACATGCAAAGACTACACCCTAGCAAATCCTGAAATCTTACTATTGTAACCTGTTGTAAGGTACTCCATAGGCCACGTGAAGGATTGCCACTGCATTTAGGGGATGTAGCTTGCTGACTGAGCACTTCCTAGTCTGTTTCTTTTACCTACTTTCTTTCTTTGATTTTCCCCAAAGATTTCAAGCCAGGGTCTACAGGTCTTTTTCCAACCTAGTCTCTTTTTCAACTAAAGCTGAAACTGTTATCTTGCTTAGAGAATGAGTAGGCATGCTTTTTTACTTTCTGCTTCATGTCCACAAAACTCCCTTGGTTTTTCACTCAGAACAGATGGAGCAGTTGTGGTTTCTTTAGATACTGATGAGCTTTTATCAGTCACCTGTGCAGTCATAAGCTGTTAGTATCAAGATAACAGATTTTTTATTGTATAAATTACTTTTCACATTTAGAACAATATCAGAGGTGTTAAGAATTATGGTTTCACCATCTGTCAGAACCTTTTTTTCTGACTTTCATTGTTATCAATAGCTTGTGAATTACTTTCTTTGTCTGGTGCCATCACACTCACACTTCTGATGGCATTTTCATTACTTTCTGCTTTTGGGAGTGAAACGTGGTTTAATGAAGCTCTGAAGTGATCTTCCTCTTCATGATTTTCTCCGTTCTTTTCCTCTTTTATTATTTCAGAATCTTCTTCTTCCTGATTCTGTTTGTTTCTATTCTGTTCAGGATTTTTTCTCACCCCCTCATCCTCTCTGGCTTCTTGGCATCCATTTCCCTTGTTTTCATCTACTGAACTTCCTTTTTTTGCTTTCCTGCTCTAATTCTACGTAGTTTGTCACATTTTCTCTAAATTTGTTCTTTTGTGATTTAATGAAATCTTTGGCTAGACTCTCATTTGGTTTCTTTTCATTTTGTAATTAATCTAGCTCTTAATGTTTAACTAGATTTTCATTCTGTTCTTTTTAAAATTCTGTCATGATTAGTTTTCTTGATATGTTTTCCCTGAATGGTTCTTGCTTTAATTTTTGCATAGGTTTCCTGTTCAACTATGTTTATTTTTTTCAGTTCATTTTTTTCTGGTGCCATTATATGTCTGGTTATGTTTTTTTTTTCCCCCATCGATTTCTTCTTCTACTAATGACTTTATGGGCATATCTCTTTTCTTTGTAAGAAATGTCACTGAAATATCTTTGGATGTATTTTTTCTTGTTTTTTTTAAAATTTTCTTTTTTGACTAACAATTCTTTGGCCCACTCTTCACTTTTTTATTTTCTTTTTTCATTACCAGATCTTCTCTTTTTTTGTGTTCTTTTTTCATTACCACTCTGGATAGCTTCTCTCTCTCTTTCTCTCTCTCTCTCTCTCTCTCTCTGTCTCTCTCCTTCTTCCATTAACTTTTGTTGTTCTTTTATAAATTTCAAAATTTTCTTCTTTTTTCATATTCCTCCTGCTTCTCTTGTTCTTTTTGTCTTTGGCTTTTTATTTCTTCTTGTCTTTTTAGTCTCTCTTCCATTTTTCTTTCTTTATCCTTTCGTCAGATTTTTTCTACCATTTCTTTGCATTCTTGTTTTTATTTTTCTAGCATTTCTTTCTTCTTTTTGTTCTTAAGCTGTTATTTTATAATTGATCCATATTTTTAACAAGCTGCAAATGTTCAATACCCAACCTGGATTTTTATGGCTGTGTTATGCTGGAGATCTGCCAAACATCTTTCTTTAGACTTTAGGTCTTCCAAACCTCTTCTTTCCTCCTCCATTTGTAATTGTAGTATTCTGATAAGCTCATCATGTTCCTTTAAATTCTCTTCCTGTAATCTCTGTTGTTGCTGCAGTTCAAGATTTATCTTCTCTTCCTGCTTATCAATATTCTCTATTTTTTTTCTTTTCCACTTCAAATCGTTTCATCCAGCAATGTCTCTTTTCTTCTTCCTCTTGCAACTGTTTTTCATCACTATTCCTCTAAGTTCTAAAGTTTTTGTTTTCCAGGTTCACCAGTACCTGCTGCTTGCCCTCCCATGCCACAAAAAGTTGTCAGCATCTTTCCTCAATTTCATAGTATCCAAAGTCACCTGAAGAAAGAGGCTCATCAACAGGTAATTTATAAAGATTAGGAAGTTGAGTGGAATTAGGAATTTTGTGTTGGTTGAATTTATCTGTAATGCTTTGTCTATTACAAATAACATTTGAAATGTCAATTTCTTCCAAGTCCTGGAGAACAAGATTTTCAGCATTTTTATTTTGATTCTTTTTTTTTTTTTTAACTTTTAGGCAATTGGGGTTAAGTGACTTGCCCAGGGTCACACTGCTAGTAAGTGTCAAGTGTTTGGTCTGAGAACAGATTTGAACTCAGGTCCTCCTGACTTCAGAGTCAGTGCTCTATCCACTGCACCACCTAGCTGCCTTTACTTTGATTCTTTATGACACAAATACAGTAAAGAATTGATTTAGGCAAATCTTCTCCTGGATCACTCTCACTACCAGCTTCGGAAAGTGTGTCCATTTCATCTTTTATCTCCAAAGATGAAACACTGATTTTATCCAATTCAGCTTTTATTTCTTCTTCTAGCTCTGTGTCAATATCTTTATCATCCCACCTTCTGCCAAGGCATCCCACTCCACTCTGAGAGAGCTAAGGCAATTTAAACCCCCAAGGGTCAGCCTTGGGGCTGGATTGGTCTTTGTTCCCCTCTCCACCTCTTCCTTGGCATACCACCCCTCAGCTGGATGCCCTTGGGGAACTGGGTGTGGCCCTGGGACCCTGGCCCACCCAGGCCACCTGGAACCTTCAGCTACTGCTGATTATGCTCATTTTTGCTGGATATTTGATTCTTGGTTATAATCCAACCTCCTTTGCCTTCCAGAATATCATATTTTAAGTCCTCCAATCCTTTAATGTAGATAACTGTTAAATCCTTTGTAATGCTTACTGTGGCTCCTTGATATTTGAATTATTTCTTTCTGGCTGCTTAAAATATTTTCTCCTTGACCTGATAGTGATGGAATTTGGCTACAATATTCCTTGGAGTTTTCATTTTGAGATCTCTTTCAGGAGGGCATGTGTGGATTCTTTTAATGACTATTTTACCCTCTGGTATATGAGGGGGATTTTCCTTTGTAAAAGGTACTGTTCAGGCTCCTCTTTTGACCATGGCTTTCAGGTAGTTCAGCACTTCTTCAGTTATCTCTCCTGGCTCTATTTTCCAGGTCAGTTGTTTTTCCAATGAGGTATTTTACATTTTCTGTTTTTTCAATTTTGTTGGACTGATTTGTGGTGTCTCCTAGAGTCATTAGCTTTACTTGTTCAATTCTAATTTTTAAGGAATTATTTTCTTCAGTTAACTTTTGTACTTCCTTTTGCATTTAGTCAATTCTACTTTTAACGGAGTTAATTCACATTTGGCCAATTCTATTTTGTAAGGAGTTGTTTTCTTCAGTCAATTTTTATGCTTTCTTTTTCAAGCTGTTGAGTCTTTTTCATAATTCTCATTTCTTTCTCCAATTTTTCTTCTACTTGGTCCCTTATTTTTCTTATTTTCTTTTCTTCTTTCTTTTACTTAATTTTTAAAATCTTTTTTGAGTTCTTCCAAGAGGACTCTCTGGGCTTGAGACCGATTCATATTCCCCTTTGAGGCTTCGTATGTAGGTATTTTGACATTGTTACCCTTTTCTGAGTTTGTGTTTGGATCTTCCCTGTCACCATGGTAGATTTCTATGGTCAGGGCTCTTTTTTTGTTTTTTTTTCCTCATTTTAAAAAGTTGAGCTCAGCTCTTGGGGTACAGGAGGCACTGCCTTGAGGTATAGGAGGCAAAGCTTCTTGCATGGGGGGCTAGTGCACAGGGGCCAGTGACCACTGGTTTTCTGTGCCAGGTCCTCTGGGGCTAGCAGCTCGCCCACTGTGCTAGCCAGGAACCCTGGGTTCCTGGGCTGGAGGCCAAACAGTTGGCCTGCTGAGCCTGGACTTCAGGGCCTCGTTTGCTGATCTGTGCTGTGGCTAAGAGCCTCCTGCTGGCTTGCCCAAACACCATCTGTGCTGGGCTAGGTTCCCCTTTTACCCAAGTGAGACAGATCTTTCCAGAAGTCATTCTAAGTTTTCCTGTGCTGGAAAATTGTTTCACTGTCTTTTTGTGGGTTCTGTTACTCCAGAATTCATTTAAAGGCTTGACTTAACGTTATTTCCAAGGGAAACTGGGGAGAGAGCTCAGGCAACTTCCTGGCTTCTCTCCACCTTCTTCTAAAAGTTCTTGTATCATTGAAATCATGTGTCTAATCTCTGTTCCTCTGGACTATATTACTTCATTGCAGCAAGACCTCCTCCTCATTACTTTGCTTATGTTTTATATTTACTTAAGTGCTTAAATACTTCTTCCTAGAGGACAGGGTTTTCCCTTTTTTTGTCTATGTATTTCTAGTATATAGAAAAGTACTTGGCAGCTAATGTTTAATAAATGCATTAATACTTTTAATTTGAGCTTCACAGACTCTGAGAATGTAACTAATATTATTCCCACTCTACAGATCCAAAGACTATGGTTAAGTGACTTGCCCATAATTAGGCAATTGGTAAGTCTTAAACCTTGAATTTGAACATAGTTTGTTTTTTTTTTTCTGATTGAAAGTCTAGCACTCTGTCTACTATGCTGTGCTGCTTCCGCATACCAGGGCCCAAAGTTAAGACCACCTCTGCCAGTGCTATACTGTGTCTTTTAACTTCACTGCTTGGGCTGACTCACTGGTATGTCCTACTAGTTTCTAGTTGCTGACACTTTCAAATCATGGCATCTCCCAGCTCCTAAGAGGATGGAGACCATAACTTCTTCCCTTGGTCCCTTATCCCTGACATCATATACCACTAACTTCTTAGGTATTTTAAAAGGAAATTACTATAAAGTACTACTGGAAAACAGGTGGTAGTTATACATGTTACTGTAGATTTCATAGGCTTATAGATTTAGAGCTCAGAGACCTTACAAGTTATCCATTCCAACCCACTCAACTTACAGATGAGGAAACTGGGGCCCAGGAAGGTTAAACGAGTTATCCAAGGTCACACTGAAGTGGCAGAGCCAGTATTTGAACCCAGCTTCTCTGACTCCAGAGTCATAGCTCTTACCTTTGTACCATTTCAATGCAAAATAAGGAGAAATTTTCCAATAATTAGAGCCACTCACTTGTAAATGGATGATGGGTTTCCTATCACTCCAGGTTTTCTAATTCAGGCTGGAGGAAATTTTGGAGACATTAAAAAGGACTCATGGCAGGTGGTGATTAGGTTCAGTGACCTGTCCTATATGATTCCTTGAAAGTCACAATAAGATAAAATGTACAGTAGAGGTATAATATGTACTGGTTATAATTAGCAATAACAGAATAATTATCGTGGTGGATAAGTTCAGTCAACTCCCCATCTCCTGAGTACATTTGGGGCAACTCTACCTATCCTCTCTTAAACCCTACATTTCTCCTTTGGATCTTCTCTCAGTCATCCTCTAAATATTACCAACAAATCTCAGTCTCAGGACTATGTATTCAAGTTGGCAAAAATTTAGTTAGCAATTTCATCTCTTTCCCCAATCCTGGGCCTTTTTTAGCCTAGAACAGGTACTTCACTCATATACAACCTTTCTTCATCTCTTCAAGTCCTGCCTCCTGGATTTTGACATACCTAACCCAGCTTAGCTCTTTTCTGGCCACTGAACTGAGGGAGCAATATACTTATAGGTATCCCTAGAACTTAGCACAGTGGTAACACAGAGTAAGCACTTAACGAAAACTTGTTGGCTGGCTAACCTTTGTCTCAAGAATTCTGCCCTCTGGGCTTCAGGCTGTTTGCCCTAGCTAGCACATGCCTGTTTATCCCTTACCTAAAGGCCTTGGGGATTTGGACTTGCTCTCAACCAAACCCTTGATGCAATTTTGTTTACTTATTCCCTTAGATTCCCCTCCTGATTAGCTGCCTTTATTTTGAAATTTACTAGGGTACTTATTCTCTACATTTGGAGATCCTGCAGATTTCCCTGCCTGTATAGTCTAAGTTGTTCTGTTTTCTCTCTCTCTCTCTCTCTCTCTCTCCTTTCCCTATTACCTTCATTCTTCTATTCCTTATCCAGCTATAGCAATTCTGCTGCCTATACTTATGGGCCTGGCTAGGCATGTCAAGATCCTGTGATGCTAAAGTATCATACCTAATCTCCATTGTTCCTTTTGTTAGATGTTGATAGAGTTCCACAATCATATTCTCATAAATGAATGCCTTCTAACCTGCAGTCAGTTTTCATCATAAACTATCACAGAATCTTTCATCTTTACTGCTAGAAACTATCTCAGAAACTATTTAATTCAAACCCCCTTCCGCAGTAAGGAATTAGTGACCCAGAGGAGAGACTTGATAAAGATTATAAAAGTAGCAAGTAGTAGAGCTTGGATTTCAAACCAGATCTTTTAGCTCCAAATTAAGTATTCCTTCTACTACACCTTGATTTGCTTTGTAGAAACAGAAAAGATGTTTATGTGTTAACTTAAACTTAAATAGTTGTTTATTCTATGAGCCACTTTGGAATCTGTAACAGTGCAGGAACCACAAGGACCAGAGTAAAACAAGTTGTAGTACTTGATATGTCTGTGAAGGTAAACAAATAGTGTATAGAAATTGATAAATATTTTCTTTGCTACAGGATCATAGTAGGACTTCCAAAAATTCTACCTTCACATTACTACATATTCCAACCCATTACTACATATTCCAACCCAAGTCAAACTTTACGTTTGTGTTTGTCGTCAACCTTCTGCAGGTATGGAGTTCAATTCTTAGTCACATTTAGTTGCATTTGTTGCACTAACAACTGGAATCACTATGGACATTCAATGTCCCTAGTGCCTCTAGGACTGTCTCCACCTTTTCTTCAGACTATTTCTGGACTGAAATCTTTCCTTATGAACCCACTTTAGATTATATCAGTCCCCTTCCCTACTTGCACCAATGAAAAATAGCTTCAGAGGATCCTAGCACAAATTCTAGGATGCTGGTTTCTAGTAGCAATCTTATCAGGATTATGGAAGTGTTTACACAGGTCAAAGATTCGTCCTTGGGTTCAG